CAGGGTTTCCTTTCTTACCATTCAAAACAGGGTTTCCTTTCTTACCATCCAAAACAGGGTTTCATTAGCAAAGCCCGCGTATTCATCTATTGTTGAGAGAACACTGAATATCAGGCAAACGAGAACAAGCATGAATCTAAAAGAATAAAATAGAAAAAATAGATTTTCAAAAATAGAATTTTTTTAAATTTTATTAATACGATCTAAAGCTTACTACCTTCTCTATAGCTTACTACTCTTTTTACAGCTTACGACCTTTTCTATAACTTAGTATCTTCCTGGTAGATTTCTATTCCCTCTGTAGATTACATATCTCTTATATCTTAGTTTGTATATAAGTTTATCCATTAATCTCTAACTAGTATAGGTACGTATTAATAAGTAATAATATGCTAAAGAGGTTTGTGAAACCTATAAAATTGTGGAATAGGAAGACGACATTTAAGCAATCTAATGTGTATTTGATGTTGTTTTAAAGCAAATAGTTTTATAGATTGAAAATTAACTTGCCTAAGTCAGGGGGGATGATAGTTCTCTACCTGTGTGCACAGTTAGCTGTACTGTACTGCACTTATGACTTTTTACTAATATTGCATGATATATTATAGGATAGGCCGGAATAAACTTATAATAAACAAATATGCAGTACGCTCTCGGTCTAGTTTATGACCTACAAAATTAGTAAAGGATTAGTGTACATCATCCAAAGAGAATAGAATATATAATAGAGGGGAATTTAGTGAATCTCTCGGTATGAATTTTTTCGGTCCCTTTCAGCCTGAAAGGGAGTTCAAAGTGTACAAATCATGTAAATGTTCACAAATTATGTGCAGTAGAGTACATTAATACAGTATGTTCCCTAGACTATCCATTTCAAGTTAGAATTTTTTAAACTGTTAAATAAACTTTACAATGAATTAGGTGAATAAAAAACATCATTTGATTTATAGTTATAACGAAAAATCATCGTTTGTAAAGTGAAATGCATAGAGTCTATGTGAAATGATCATTGGTCAATTATAAACCAGCCTATTTCATAATTAGGTTTTCTTTTAATATTAATTTTAGATTTTCTATAAAATGATATTCCAGGGCCCAAAAGGTTATATGGCATAAATATGTGAAGTATACCTGCAGTATGGAAACAGTACAACAAAATGGCCGTTTTACACTTTTTTCTAGTAAATTCCCCTCTAATATATATTCTATTCTCTATGACATCATCACTCTATACACTATAACCTCGTTGGTCCGAGCACATTGCTTCCCATTCCACAATTTGATAGCTCCCACCGAATACTGATATTATAAGTTATGTTTATTATACAAAGTATTCCTACACATTTTAAATTAATATATATTAAGGTTAAAATATTTCTTATAAAGCCAGGATTAAAAATCACCAGTTCAACCAGGTCTCTTGTGCGACGGTTCAAACAAATTCTACTATTTATTGAATTTAATCTATGATAAGATTACCATGATGTTTTTAATTTATTTTGACACTTTTTATTGCAATGAATATCTTAAGGTGATAAGTTAATGTTGTTAGGATCAAGAGATCTTCCAAACTCTTCACTTTTTTTCAACACACCATTACAAATATTTGCTTTTTTTGTGTACTTTAAATCTTATAATATTACAAAGGCTGATATAGATGTATGTATGTCACCCATTGTGCGTCCTAAATGTGCGTCCGTCACATAAACCCAGGCAGTCTAAGTATTGTACATTAAACGTGCTAGGTCCACTACAGCCTAGGTAAACTGGATCGGCTGGTACAAGTAAATGTATATATAGTATGATTCCACAAGAGACCGACAGTACTACTGGTAAATACTTGTACTGAGGCTGAATTTAAAGAATTAAAAGAAATGGTTGATCCGCCAAAAACCGGTTCCACTTGAGCGCCAGCTCAAATCTTGAAAAACTTAATATAATTTCAAGTAGAACCAACCATGTTTGAGCCGCGTCTCAAATTCTTTAAATTCATTGTGTGAATACTATTAGTGCTACCGAATAAGTGAATTCATTCAACATGAGCTTTTTACAACAAAAAAGTGAAATGTTTATTGTTAACTTATTACTTACACCGACATATGATAAATAAAACACATCCATCCGCCAGGGTGCTCCAGGAATACATAAACCCGTTCCTGGGACCAAACATAATGAATTTGAGCTACATTGCTGAACTATCTATTGCCGGTTCTAATTTGAACTACCGATTTTATAGGTTAAACCTTCAAGAAGGATTTGAATCGGTGATTCAAATTTGAACCGGTGGTAGGCAGTTCAGCGGTCCTACAAATTCATAAAATTCAGTTCCTGAATGGATTTCCCTCGTTTAGCCAGGTTCCTGTGATGCCACATATACTTGGCTTTAAAATCTTGGTCCATGGGAAGAAAGACAGGATAATATGGAGAACCTACACCACCGTCTACATCACCCCCACCCCCAGCACCATCTCCATCTACAGGTTCTAGTGTCACATCTTCACTGCTCTTCTCAACTTCAATGCCCTTCAGACGCATAGATGTCTGACAAGATAACACTATATTTCAAGGAGGGAAAGGTTTTAACTAAATACTGTTCTATATTTTGATAATTTCTAAGAGCTTAAACAGTCAACAAAAGTTGTTAACTGAATATATCATTATCTATTAGATATTAATCTAGTTTCATCCCTTAGATGCCAAACGCAATAAAGGATTTTTTCCAGTCTTCAATTTTGCAGATCTGAAAAAAATTGGATTAGATTAGTTTTTTTATACAATACAGTAGACTTTATAAAACTTTCATTTAATTAGAAGTTTTCACATAATAATATTCGCTTGTTGTAAATATATATATAATATTCCCTTGTTGTAAATATATATATAATATTTCCTTGTTGTAAATATATATATAATATTCCCTTGTTGTAAATATATATATAATATTCCCTTGTTGTAAATATGTATATAATATTCCCTTGTTGTAAATATATATATATAATATTCCCTTGTTGTAAATATGTATATAATATTCCCTTGCTGTAAATATATATATAATATTCCCTTGTTGTAAATATATATATATATAATATTCCCTTGTTGTAGATATATATATAATATTCCCTTGTTGTAAAAATATATATAAATATCACTTAAAGATAATATTTTAAAGTCCATTGAAAATTACAGAAACAACTTAGCTACACAATAGTTCTTCCCTTCTTTTGAATTAGAATAATAATAAACTAAAATTAACAATAAACCACCCTCTTTTTAATCAATAACACAATTTGTTTTGTGTGGCTTTGTATGAAGTATGTTTAGTAAATTATAAAATAAATTACAAGGGGGAGTGTACTAAGGGACAATTATGTCAATTTACCAATCCACACCTTTGTTAATATACCTTCAAGGTTTTTTAAATGAAAAAATACGCATAATACACTTAGAAATAAATCAACAATTAAAAACAAGAAATTTTTTTTTAAAAATAATATTTAAGGTCAATTTAATGATGTTAATGGGGCTGGGCAGTGTTGCTGGGGAACAGAAATAGGAAGAACAATTTGTTTTTGCGACATTCTTTATTGTTAACAATGTTCCACCGTTAATGAATTGCTGGAACCATTCTCGATAAAGAACAAAAGAATCAACGAAACAGAACAGGGATGGAACGATTGGAAAAGAACAAAGGATCCAGATGAAGGCCTTTATTCTAAAACGAGAAACGAACGACTAAAAAAAATAGGAACACTGCCAGCCCTATCTATCAGTCCATAGCTGTACATTTTGATATGCAAATAAGGCCAAGGGTATATTGTTGAAATCTGAGTTGAAGGGCAGGTTTATATTATACTAATAGCCCCCCATCTGTTTATGCCTTTAAAGCAGGTCTGTCCTTATTATGAATAAAGCTGACCCAAAAGAAGTGTTTAATTTAGATCTAGGTTCAGGTACTTGTTCCAGCCTCTCTATAGACCCAATACAGTTCTTCTTCTCATTAGCATCTAAATATTTCAGAAATTAGCAATGATGATTAAATGATTGATTGATTAATTGGTGTTTACCAAGGTTTTGCCAGGTATTGAGTGTATGATTGCCAGGAATATTGACTGAGTTTTCTCTCTCCTGGGACCGATTTTAATGAATTTGAACTGCCTTTCCCCGCTTGGTCAAATTTAAATCACCAATTTGAATCCTCCTGAATCTTTAACTTTGAATCTGTTGTTAAAATCCTGACAGGCAGTAGGTAGTTCAGGGATGTAGCTTAAATACATTAAATTCGGTCCCTGGTTAGTTAAGGAGGTGGCAGGAGACTCAGATTCTTCCTCCTTGATATCATCATCTAGTTCATCCTCATCAAACTCATCACAGTTCTCTATATCATCTAGTTAAAGGGACTGTAAGAGTAATTTCAAATGACTTTTCAAGCAAAAATAGCAATGCCCTATTCACAACGGTACCCTTAACAGTTTTCTCTGACATAGTTTGAATTAGATATCAATGTTCATAAGTTTGAAACTGATTATTTCCAATTGGGGTTTCTCTACAAAAGTGATTTCCATTGCAGGCAACCAGATAGAAATTGTCAGAATTGAAAATTTCAAAATCTAGAAAAACGACAATATCTTACAAATAATTGATCATGGATAAACGTGTCAAGGGTACTGTTGTGCATAACCATTGTTTGCATAGTGAGTCACTTGAATCAACGCTTGCAGTCCCTTTCAGGAAAATAAAAGTTTGTGATGTTATAATTTGTGTACCATCATAAGCATGTTCCGAAACTCATTGGCTAGAACAGAACTTTTCTGATCTTCTATTGGTTCTTGCAAAGATTCTAAATTCATTTAACCTTTAACGTGCACCTAGTGCTTATGAGAGTAGTTGAACCCAATTCAAAACTATAATAAAGGACCAGATTTTTTTAACGGCGAGACATGGTTCCGCCACGTTAACGTAATTCAGCTACTTCTCACTTTTCAATAAATCGATAATTCATAAGGTTCCGACTTCTCTGTCTTCTCAAACATGTAAATACTAACTAACCTGAAGAAACTGAAGAATCATCTAGAAGAAGATGATTTTCTTGTTTAAATATTTTCTGTTCATGATCTGATTTAATCATTCCCCGTCCTTCCAACTCCTCTCCTCTCCATCTTCTTACTTCTTCTTCCTTGTCCCCCCTCCCTCTGATGCCCAGAGTATCCTGACTACCCAGATTATTTCCAGGAAGCAAGAGAGAACTAGGAGAACTAGGCTCAGCTTCACTCTCCGTAACCTGTAAATCAAGAAGTAAAATTGGGAAAACCACTCTCAGTGACTAAACTAAACTAGTGGGGCAGGTCAAATAGGCCCATGATAGGCCGGGTACTTTAAAAAGCCTGGCCGCACTTTCAAAGTTGAAACCGAGCCGGCATAGGATTGGGCCTGGCCAGTACTTGCCACCACCCGTCACTACTAGATCTGGTACAAGGGGTCACTGCTAGATCTGGTACAAGGGGTCGGTCTGGTACAAGGGGTCGGTCTGATTCGATTTCAAATTGACCCCAGTCCATAGTGCAGTAGTATAATTGAAGTAATAAGTTTTGAATAAACTTGGTGTTAAAGAGAGAGTTACCATAATTTCTAGTGACCCTGATGGAAGAAAGGCAATTCCCGATTCACAACAGTACCCTTGCGACCTTTACCTCATCAATAATGTAGATGTCATTTTTTTACCGTTTACCCTGTAATTTTCTAGGAAGAGGAATTTCATAAAAAAAAAATTGATGTAGGATGACTGGAGNATGGCTGGGGGTTATAATATTTGTATTTAGTATGTTGGTGTGATACAAATATCCCTTTTGAATAACACAATTCCACAATTATATCTGATAAATTAACACTCTGAGCCTAGCAGTTCAAAGGTTTACAATTCTCTGCTAATCTAAACTGTTAATTTAAATTCTTACTCATCAAACATCATTTCATGACAAAATATTTTCTAAAATATTTTTAGATTAAAATGGGTGTAGATTTTGAAAAATATATATATATATCCAGCAATAGCAGTGAACTAATTTAACATTTACCACTACTGAAGGACGTAAAAATAAAAATCTTCCTCTGAGAATAATTTTTCTCCAAAAAATTCCAAATTCTATCTTGATAAACATTGTAAGTAAAATGATAAACTTTATATTTCATCACATTTCATATATATTGTAAAGGTAATGTAAACACCACTTTATGTTCATTTAACATATTAAAAATAGAGAATATAATATGCTCAAAAAAACAGAACTTAGTGACACTAACACCCCACCTCTGACCCGTTAGTAAAAGTAAATTCAACCTAAAGTCTGACCGCGTCAACCTTGTTGCACCGGCTAGTCCTATCCATAGAGCTAGGTACAGTGCAAACTGAGACTGGAAAGGTTGACCCGGCTCGGAAATTCAATTGTACTACGGCTGCCCGTTTCCAACTACACTCCCAGAAACTTTAAGATGCGAATCTTTTTCTCGGAGGGTCACTTGAAATTAAGCTTATAGTCCCTTTAACATTCACCTTATAATATTCATAATGTATCATGTTAAAAAATTATCAATCTGTTGTTATTTTATATTAGGGATTATTTTGAAGGCTATGGCATGTCTGCATCACAGACATAATCCTTAGGCAAGGTTAAAGGGAGAGACCGGCCATGTAACATATTTGAACTAAAAGCTAAAAGTGCAGTATTGTAGAGAAAAGCTTTAGGATTAATTTGATTCCAATAAGACATTTTTACGGAGTACAATTATTAAATAAGAACGTAAAGTTGTTTGTAATATTTCACCAGTTGTTTCAGTCAGCAGAAGAAACGTTTATTTTACAATTCTTAAATAACATGGACAAAACATGTAACAAATAATGTTCTATACATGTGTCTTGTCCGGGTTATCAAATGATTGTAAAAACGTTTCTTCTGCTGACTGAAACAATTGGTGAAAAATTAAAAATGACTTTATGATCATTGTTTGGAAATTTTGCACCGTAAAAATGTCTTATTGGAATCAAATGAATCCTAAAGTTTTTATCTACAATATTACACTTAGTATTTTACATAGCCGCTCTCTCCCTTTAAAAGATTTCATATAATCATGCATTGCAGAAATTAAAGAAAATATCATATGGGAACTGACCACTTCAAACTTATGTAAACTAAGAATGATTCTTAAAATTTACATTTCAAAAATTGCAAAAACACTGATTTTTTTTATTTATTATTTTTAGGTATATTTTATTCCTTTGTGTTTACATGAACTAGAAATTTCCTGTTTATGAACTATAAATTACCTGTTTATGAACTATAATTGACCTTTTTATGAACTATAATTTACCTGTTTATGAACTAGAATTTACCTGTTTATGAACTAGAATTTACCTGTTTATGAACTAGAATTTACCTGTTTATGAACTAGAATTTACCTGTTTATGAACTAGAATTGTAAAATCTGATTCCTCCTCTTTCACATTCTTATTCTCTCTCTCAGCAATTATCTCATCTTCTATTCTTATCTTTTCCTCCTCTTCACTCTAAAGTAGAATTATTATTATTTACATTTTTCACTTAGACTCTGTACTATGTGGGAGCTGGAGTTGGTCATTGAAATTTCTTGTTTGTAATATTAAGTTAAATTACTATAACAGTTAGGCCCTCCAAGTTTGTTTATAACTTAATTGTTTATTTTTTTGCTGACTAAATTGAATTTTAAAAATTCTGTTAACAGAGCTTTGCGTGGTATGCAATGAAACACTAATTATTCAGGCTAGGGTGCTAGGGGCTAGGGTGTAAACTTTAAAAGACTGTAGAAAAACTGTAGAAAAACTGTAGAAAATCTGTAGAAAAACTGTAGAAAAACTGTAGAAAAACTGTAAAAAAAACTGTAGAAAAACTGTAGAAAAACTGTAGAAAAACTGAAGAAAAAATGTATAAAAACTGTAGAAAAACTGTAGAAAGACTGTAAAAAAAATGTCAAGTAACCCTCCATTTGACGAGGACCAAGCTCAATATATACCAGTACCCTTTAAACCTGTGTCTCGAGCTAAAACGTTGAACATGTCTTCGTTTTTAATTTCTTATTGCATAGTTCCTCTAAATTAACTTGCCCATTTATGCAGCAGAGACAAAGAACATAATTTTTAGAATTCAACACTCTGATATCTCCCGTCACCTGCATCCCACTTCTTGAACAGAGGGTCACTTAAAAATTACGCCTACAGTCCATTTAAACTTGAAATAACGTGTACAGTCCCTTTAAAATATATGGAAAAAAACTGGCAAAAAACAAGGCCGGTAAAGTGAAATAAAAAATTGCTCTTTAATTTTAAAAAAACAAATTAAGATATTATTTATTTACTAAAAAATGTGGTGAAGAGAGTATTCTAAAACCGAAAAATGTCATGGAAAAAACTTGACGAAAAATGTCAGGTAAAAAAACCTTTGTTAANCTTGACGGAAAATGTCAGGGAAAAAACTTGACGAAAAATGTCAGGGAAAAAACTTGACGAAAAATGTCAGGGAAAAAACTTGACGAAAGGTTGCTTCCAATCATTCTGTGGATTTAAATGCCAGCTATACTGCCTTCATTAAATATGCATTATAAATTGTATTACCTTTATCATGTTCATCGTAAAATAGTTCTCTTTCTACTGGTTTGTTATTTATGTCATATAAAGTCACTAGGCACCATTTCTTGTTTTTTCATCTATTATATGATCTAACTGTCACTGATCTTTTGAAGAAACATATTAGATTATCTCCAAACTTTAACACCAAAATACGCACATACAACTTGAAAACATAGAATTTTCTGCATGCAAATCTTTTTACTAGCAATATACAATTTTTTTAAATGATTCGTTTTTTTTAAATTTTCTGATTAGTCCGTGGAATCGCAATAGTATGCTTTGTCACGATCCAATATGATATGGGACACCCTGTATTAAGAACTGTGTCAATTAAAGGAACTGATTACTCACCAGGGGCGTATTCAGGGGGCAAGGGGGAAGTTCATACACCCCTTCCCTTACTTTATGATTTTTTAACTGATGAACTTTGTACATAGAAATAACCGTTTTGTATTTTTTTTCGTTACAATTAAGTTCTGCTAATTTTTGATACTCCAATAAAAAGTTTTAAAAGTCAAAATTAATGTTTGTCCGTAACACTTTTTCATTTTATAGATTTTAGGTTAAGGCTAAGTTATTTAAACAAAAATGTCTTTTACTTCCTTTTTAAAACAGTTAATTAAAAAAAATATCCTTGAAAAAAACTGTCTTTGGCTTATCAAATCATTTTTTTGTTTCAACACATCTATATATATATTTTGCTTTTCTGTCTGTTTGTTTGTTTGTATCCAGTAAACGTTAAAACGGCTGAACCGATCAGGCCCAAAATAAAAAATCCCCCAATTTTTTTTATAACGATTTATAAAGGTTTTTAGAATTTAAAAAAAATTTATATGAAAAATTTCAATGCTTGAAATTTTATTGTAAAAAAAAATACTTTTTGTAATTAACAATTATCAAATAAAAAGTTGAGTTGAGCTTAGTTTTAACCAGCTTTAACCATATATCAGTGTATTAGAATAAGTGGACACTCCTATTCGTCTGTTATTACCCCCATGTAGACTGCAAGAGCTTAAACCAAAACTTCGGAGACATAAAAAAAAATATGAAATGTTGTTTTTAATATTTTTCAATGGCTTTTTATGCTATTATAGATAAATCTGAGTCATTGTGAAATTAAATAAATAGCATTGAATTATGCGGGAACAGTTTTACAGAGCTTCATATAATATTCAATTAAAAAACTAAATATCTGCAGCATTCCATGTATCAGCAGGTTTTAAAAAATTCTTTCAATGTTTCCAAATTACTGGGTTCAACTGTATATTATATAAAGTAAAGTTGATGGTTCCCCTCCTCCGACTGGAATGGTTTGAATGTATGAATACCGAGGAGTGGTGACGGGGAAACCAAAGGTAAATATCCCAGAGGCTGGATAAAGGTGGTATACGGATACCATCCAGGTACATAGAAAAAAAACATAAACATTAAACAATTCGCTTGGAATCCAAGCTTTACCCGGAGTTTTTCTTTTACAAGCAAATCGGTCCAGAGGTTCAAAGGTTATTATAAGTCATCAAAACATATAGAGAAACAGAGATCACTACTTTACAAATGATTCAAAATTATGACATAGATATATGGTAAGCTACTTAACGGTTCCTAGGGACAAATAAGTAAAATAACATCTTAAAGACAATAGAACTATGTACAGTAATGAGGGGAAGGCAGGCAGATTGTGAGCCACAACATTTTTCCTGCAATGCCATATATCAGCTTTTTGTCTCCCGGCATCCATTCAATGTCAACTACTTTTTGTGATATCAAAAATATCAATTTTTACTACAAAACATCCCTCTTTACGTCCTGGATGTTTTGTGGGTAAATAAGTCTTGTGAACATTTGTTAAAGTAAAATTCTCTAAAGGTATTGAGTTTTTGCCACAAACTCAAATCTTCTGATCCCAATATCTTTGCAACCTAATGGTGCAAATCTTTGATATTTCAAACTTAGATTATTTTATCTATAAGTATTAATAGTTTGAAATATCTAAGGTCTACGACATTGGGTTACAAAGATATAGAGATTAGAAAATCAGAGTTTGTGGCAAGAACTCAACTCCTTTCCCAATAAAGCTGTGCAAACTTAAAATTTAAAACCTAAACATAAAGGATGTTTAAATACTAAAAGTGGTGAATGGAAGAATTTACCTCTTGACCTAAATCTCAAAAAGTTCATTGTGTTATTCAATTTGTTCTTAAAATAATCTCTGATTATCTCATCAAAAAACTTCTTGTATCTATTTAATTAAACAAACATCTTTTACATTTAAACTGTTTAATAAATATTTTGTTAACATTCCAAATCCAACCATCTTATCATATTTCTTAAACTATTTATCTTATTACCTTTTTGTAAAATAAAATAATTGCTTTTAATGTAAAAATTTATATTATTTCATTTTTTTTTGCTCTTTTAATGTAGAATGTAAATATTATACACTACAAAGAATTAAATAGGAAAGGGGGGCTTCAATAGAACCAGGTAAATGTTCTTTTAATTATGATTTTATTTCAAATTCACTTTATTTTCTTATCCTCTTAAGCTGCTTGGTTTTCTGTTGTTAACAGGTCGTTCTTGTACAATTGGTAGAACTAGGTTGGACGCTCTTCCTTCCCTAAAAAAATAATGATTTATTTCACTATTAGAAATTTAAACTGTAAAAAATTATCTGATACATGCTGATATTATTTAAAAACATCTCTCTATATTGGTGGATAAAAAAATACTTTACCATGTAATTTTTTCATTAAGTTCTTTCAAATGCCAATTGAAACAATTAGCAATTTGTTGGTTATATTTGTTGTTAAAACAGGGAAAGCTGAATAAAACGAATTTAAATTTAATTTTAATTTTTCAACCACATTAAATTTAATGATATTATAAACTGTAAACAGTTGGTTAGAAATATTCCCCCCTACATTTATTTAGAAATAACTCAAAAAGTTTTGGTCTGTGGTTAATTGTTCATATTGTTTTTATTTAAAAAGCATCCACCTATAAAAGAGTAAAAAGAGAAAAGCCTAGATGATTAAATAAATGAAAAATGAATGTTTAATTGATTACATTGTGAATGAAAATAACAAGTTGCTGGGACAAAGACAAACTGTTAATTCTGCATAATCCGCCAAATCCCAAATGGATGCCTTATTTTACCTATTCCAGAATTGCCTTTAAACAAATGACAAAATAAAGCAGAGATGGAATTTAAAGAATTTGAGCCGCGGTTTAAATCCGCCAAAACCCGGTTTAAATTAAGCGCCGGCTTAAATCATGAAACATTTGATACAATTTTAAGTGGAATCAACCATATTTAAACTGCGGCTTAAATTTAAACCGCCGCTCAAATTCTTTAAATTCGGCCACTGATTACACTTTTTGCACACGTGCCTTGTCAATAAATTTGCAAAATTAAAATTTTTCTATATCACTTAACAAATTTTGTACTTTGTATGAATCTATGAAAAAAAATTCATATTTAAATTTGCTGCCCGAAAATGAAGTCAAATGATACATAATTTTTGCTTTGGCACATTTTTAATTATTTAACTGGATTTCACAATAAAAAGTTGTCAGTAGAGGTTAGTCAGAATAAGATTAATTCCTTTTGACCATTCAAAATACCCTAGGAGCTTGTGTATAGAGTGATAATGTACGCTAATCATTAAAGCCAGGACCTACATCGAGAACATACTGCATTTATGTCATATGTTAGTGAACCTGTGGCCGGATTTAAAGAATTTGAGCGGTGGTTTAAATTTAAGCCGCGGCTTAAATATGGTTGGTTCCACTTAAAATTGTATCAAATGTTTAAAGATTTAAGCCAGCGCTTAATTTAAACCGGGTTTTGGCAGATTTAAACCGTGGCTCAAATTCTTTAAATTTTATCTCTGAGCCCGCGGTTTAAAAATTTTGTCCTTGGGCATTATTTACGACTTGAGCTTTAGGATTCAAGCTGCATCTTATTTTCCACAGAGTTGAGTTCTAATAACCGGTTTAATATTCTATTTGGTGGATTTTTACAATTGGAATTGGCACATTCTGCGTTTTGATGATAAAAAGACTCAACATTGAGCCTTATTCTCCACTAAAACCAACCAAGGTCGGTTTTATTTTCTTTAGGCCTAACTCCTAAGTTGAGCCTAAGATTTTGCAGCTGTCAATTACGTGACACAAGCTGTCGTCAGAGTTGGGTTGATTGAAGATCGGGCCTTAAAGTCGGGTTTAAGGAATTACGGCTCAAGCCAAAGTTTTTAAATCGCGGGCTTAGTGTAAGTACACAGTCCAGCTAACTGGGGGACAGGTAGACAACATAATCCCCCTGAGCTACCTCCTTTCATTTGCCAGAGCAGCAGCTTCAGCCACCTCTGCATTCAAGTAGAAAAAATCTTCAGCCTGAAATTTCCGAAATAAATACAGGTAAATTTGTGTTCAAATGTTTTAGTGAATAACCCGCCTTTTCAGAAGTTTTAAAGATAACTTAAAAAAAAAAATAACTTAATGTGTTTTGTTAAATTGTTAAAATTAAACTATATATAAAAATAAAAATAAGATTGAAATTATAATTTGTTGCCACTGAGTTTAGGACGGGGAAAAAGTAGGTAAAGAAACGATTGTTTTAAAAGAATTAGCTAAAAATTATAATCCAAATCATCAGTCATTAAAAAAAATAAGGTAGGGGTAAAAAGATTTTAAAAATTACTAGTTTGCCCACTGTCCAGCCTAAACTGAAGTTGTCACAAAACATTAACTCACAAAAATTTTCTAAGAATAAAGGAAAAAAAGTTTTGTATCTGTATCTTACCGTTGAGCAGTCAACATTAAACCACCAATCACAGATGAAGTATTGTTGGTTGAAGATTGTACCATTAGGACACAAGAATGAGTATTGAAGTAATCCTTCCTGTCCGTCTGAACAAATTTGACACATTTATTCCAGAACCTTTCAAGCAACTTGTTAAAACGACTTTACCTGAATTTCAAGTGTAGAAGTTAGTAAGGATACAAACTAGAATTTAGCTGATTTTTTAGGTAACACAATTCCACATAACTTGAGCAACAGAAAAATAGCTTTCTTTACACATTTTTTGCTCAAGTTATGTCTAATATGTATGTTAACTGCATTAGTAAACATATATCTTCAAAATACATGAGAATTGATGATTCTTCAAGCTTAAAGATTTCAAACATTGACATGCGCACAAAATAGGATGCACAAAACTGTGACTAACATCCATGCAACTTATTATGGATTTAAGTTTATGCACTTTTTTCATTAAGAATGTTAGTTTTTTTTAATCTATCATGTGCTAACGACATCAAATATGTGCGCATTATTCCTTTATTATTTTAATTTAATGTATTACCTGAAAATTATGAAGATAGTTTTCATTCTGAGTTGTCAGACTTAAATAATTTTCACTTTCTTCAATTAAATTCATGCTTATTAAAGCGCGTTAAAATAAATAAGTCAATTTAATTTCAAACTAAAATAAATTGCACGATAAATTGAATTATTTTAGATATTCAATCTATTATTAATAAAATGATATTAAGAAGACCAAATTTGCTTTTCTCAATCTTGTGCTTAAACTCAAAATTAGAGAAGCTATGAGGTCACAAAGTCGTACCAGTGATGTTGCATATATATTTTGACCTCATACTTTTGTCTAGTTCGGTTTGAGAATGTCTGATTCATAGTGGTACCCTTTAAACCTTATCTGAACAAAAATGTTAAAGTTATCCCTGTTTTTCTATCTGAAAACTGATTATCTTTGATTGCGGATTAATTAAAATCAGAAAAAAATCTAACCAGAAGCAAAAAAAACTTTCAAAGACAGAAACACAACAATATCTTTCCCTTTGTTGTTTTATGTTACCGCTGTGAATCGGCGATGTAACGCTTGAAATTGAGGTTCACGTAAAATTGTATTTGCGGTCCCTTTGATTTTTAAATTGCATTTGCAGTCCCTTTGATTTTTAAATCGTATTTGCGGTCTTTTGATTTTTAAATCGCATTTCCAGTCCCTTGAATTTTAAATCGTATTTGCAGTCCCTTTGATTTTTAAATCGTATTTGCGATCCCTTTGATTTTTAAATTGCATTTGCAGTCCCTTTGATTTTTAAATTGCATTTTCAGTCCCTTTGATTTTTAAATTGCATTTGCGGTCCCTTTGATTTTTAATTGCATTTGCGGCCCCCTTTGATTTTTAAATCGCATTTGCGGTCCCTTTGATTTTTAAATTGCATTTGCGGTCCCTTTGATGGATATTTTAAAATTCCAAACTTCTCAGGGTTTCGCCTGATTTACTTTGTCAATGTATAATAATTGATTGCATAAAACCTTGAATAATTGCCTGATGTGCTTGGATAAGGCTTGGATTCGACTGATAAAAAAGTGAAGAAAAAATAATTTATATGCAGCGATGAATCACGTGACTTTAGGTTAACATAGTTCGCGCATTTTTCATTTTTTAAATTCACGTGTCCGTGGTAGATTAATTCATACCACCGCGGTCACATAAAAAGAGACAATAAAAGTATGGCATGAGAAAAATATAATGGGTTAAAAAAATAACGGTATAAAAAGGTACAACAAATCTGGTGCCCTTTTTCTTTCATTAGTTTTAGCTTTAATTTTTAAATCGTTGATTTACTTAAACCCGGCCTTTTTCTTTTCGCACACATTTTGAAACGATTGTATTAAGTCTGCATAATTTCCTGTTTATTATTCTGATTTCTCAAAATACACAATCGCACACTAAAGATAAAGCACATAATGAGGATACATAATGACTATTGAGGATGCATATCGAGGATGCAAGAAAGTAAGAATGGGGGTAAGTTGGAAGAATGGGGGAAGGGGGAAGAAGAAAGTGAGTATTAGGGTACGCAGAAAATGTTTAAGAGTAAAAGGGGGGAAAGTTTATTTGAAAGTTAAAAAGAAAAAATCTCGATCCCTTAATGTTAATATTGAACTTTTAAGTGACCCAGCAGTTTAAATAGGGGCGTGCTCAATTCACAACAATACCCTTGAAACCTATAATCGAATCAATGATGTGGAAGATAACGTTAAATTCTGATAATTCCTCCATTATTTCTAAAGTAATGGAGCGTCGCTTGAAATTACGAATCATGATTCATAATCTCTTTAAAACCTCAAGAACTGATTCTCTCTGGACACTCACAGTTTCATTTGAAACCCACGTACTTTCATCCGCAATTTTAGTTTTTTTAGGATTTTTAAATTCCTTGTAAATCAAACCAATTCCTTCTTTGCTCCATACATAGAGCGCGTTGAGTAACTCTTTAACATTTAAACCATTCCTTCACGCCCCCCCCCCCTCTCACTTCAATCACGTGTTTTGCAGCCTTCGTGCATAAAACATAAAATCTCAAACAAATTATTTAAATTGATTGTACACATGTAAATGAATCTGATATTCATAAATTATTCTGTTAAGAATAAATTGTACGGTACGGTACTGTACATTACGGTTCAGTACGGTACAGTTTTGTCCGGTATAGTACAGTACAGTTTTGTCCGGTACTGTACATTACGGTTCAGTACGGTAGTTTTGTCCGGCAGTTTGAAAGGTGGCTAAGTTTCATAGATTTATTTGGGCTTAAAATGTATATCTACAACCGATTAGTTTATTTGTTTGTGTTTATACATGTATTTTATTTATATATTTATTGTTGAGTATCAAGTTCCACAATGGTGCTCGAGATACCGGATATGAGACTGTTTATAGGAAGATTGTTGTATTTCAATTTTCACTGATCTATGTATATCAAGTTGTAATCTCTGTTTGTCTGTTTGTTTGTCCGATCATAACTCCTGGACCTATATGCCACAAATTGTGATTGGGAAACTCGGAAGAACCGCGGGAATGTTCTTAGTTTGGTTCCAAGATTTTAAGTTGAGTGGATCGACTTTTAAACGAGAAAAGTTAGTTTCCCGGTAAAAATCGTCTAAGTGCGGGTAAACGGCGGGAGTAACTATGAGTACCCTGTGCAACGCTGGGTTCCCAAACTAGTATATATATGTATTCTTATTCATTGTATATAGTCGATCATTATTTTATTTACTATGCATAATATTGTCTATATGAATAGAAATACTTTAACATCAACTAATTTACTTACTTATAGTGCTCATGTGCCCAGTATTGGGTCAAGAGGCCTCAGCTCATTAGGTTATTTTCACAAGTTGTTATTTGTTTGTACACTTTAAATACTTAAGCCGCTTTACTATTACTTTATTATACAAACCTACTTAAGCCGCTTTACTAATACTATATTATACAAACCTACCTAACTAACTTTAAAATTTTAACTCAAAATATAATCTGATATTAACTCTTACTCTTTAATTTATTTCTATACAAACTAAATTTACAATTTAGGCGATTATATCAATACAATAAAGACGACTTTAGATTTTTTGATTTATATCAAGCTGTTTAACGGCATAGTTACAAATAAACATAGAAGTCAAGAGAAGCTTTCAATTAAAAAAGCTTCTCTTTGATTACTTGTAAACTTGTACTTTGAAAAAAGCTTGCTAACAATTAAAAACTTAAATAAAAAAGCCGTCTTCGTTGCATTGGTATAATCGCCTACCATACCATTACTGATATATTAATATGTACTAACTTTCTTTTTAGTTCTTATGCCTGCTGATTTACTGTCTTTTTATCAAAATCAAATTATAATATGTCGTCTTTACAAAAAATATTCAGGAAAAGTTTCCTGAAAAAATATACGCAAAAAAACAGAATCTAAAAAAATTCCTTTTTATGTGAAGACGGCATTCTTTCACTTAATTTTGTTTACGAATTAAACATATCTTACACTGAGAAATGGTAAACAAAACACTTCCATCCTGTTGGTCTCTCCAAGAAATTGTACACAGCTCCCTAAAATTTCAATTAATGATTTTACAAAGACGACATTTGAACTAGTTAGACGACATTTCCGGTTAAACTTGCTTTTTAGTTTTTTTTTTGATTTGCTGTGCGATTTTACATTTGATAATGATAACCTATTCTAAATCAGCCAAACATTTTTAAGGACAATTTTTTAAGAAAAGAAATAAAATCCATAGATAAACTCGTATTTATCAATTTTGATAAAAATATGGTATTGACGTTCTAAAAAAGATAAGGTTACCCACAAAAAATTGGTTTTTGGTCATCATGAAGGTCTTATCCTTTATGGGTAGCCCTTAACTTCGTAGAACAAACTTCTTTTTTATTTAGTATTTAGTATTTATTTTCAAACACAAAATACAAAATAAAAATGTATGATGGCTCAGCTTAAAATAAAACACAAAAGAAAATTTATTATGAGCCAATTGAAAATATAATGTTTGATAATTTTGTTTGATCGTTTTTGTTGAAACAAAGTATGCATTTTGAAATCTCAACTAAGAAGTAGATAATTAGTCAGCACTCGAATAATTAAAACATTTTAAGGAATGCATTCATTGAACTCATAAATACATATTGATTCAGCAAAAGTAACAATGTATTCTCGTTGACTGTAGTAGACTTTGACATCTACCATTAGCAAAGGGTGTGAACCCATTTTGTTGACTGTAGTAGACTTTGACATTTACATTGACATTTGATGGGCATTTTTGGACTTGAGTTGAAGTTTGTAAATTGAATGCAGGTATTTTGATTGATTATTTTAACCCATATTTATTTATTTATCTATGTTTTAAGCCTTCATATATTTTTAACGATGATGTATATGTGACCTGAAAAGTAGTTTAACGATGATGTATGTGACCTGAAAAGTAGTTTTTATTCCTCGTTTAGGGCGAAGGCCAGCCAGGTAGGAATTACTGCGACGAAAATCATCGTCTGAAAATAAGTGGAATCTTTTAACAAAACTTTTGTTCCAGTTTCAAGTGACCACCGA